AAAAGAAAGGAAACAAAATATATATGAAAGCTTAAATATAAAAGAAAATTTTTAATGTACCATGTAGGAAAAAAAGGGATTAACAATTATGAAGGAATGTGTGGCATGAAAAGAAAAGGTTCGACGCAAGTTTATGAAATCCATATATTGCAGTGCGGTCGACCATTAAAAATATAAGACCAAGATGGAGCCGCTCGTCTCTATATCAAAAAGTGCAAGTTTAAATTCCTTATTCAAATTCGAATAAGGAACGCGTCCTAAAGTCTGTGTTTATTCCATCTGACTTTGACCGGGAATGCCATTCCGAAATTCGAAAGTTCCATTTCGAAACGATCAGTCCCAAGGATAGATGCCTGCATACTGTCGATAATATCTATATCTTTATTGAAACGGCTAAACTAACCATCTAGTTTTCCTTCTTTTTCATATAAAATTGACAGCCTTAGTTGCTATTGATCATCTCGCTTGAATCTAATAAATTCCTTCTAATAATATAACCCGAATTTATTGCATTGATTGCCTCTACATTAAGAAGATGCCATTTTACAAAGTAACTTTACCATTAGAAGTGTCTTAAGTGCAGAAATTGGAAGTAATTGATCTTTTCAATAAATAATCTGAGTGCGCATTAAAGCTATAAGCATTGATTAAAATTCGTTTTCTTGTGATGTATGAAAATTTGCGATATTGGCACATTGAATGTGTGAAGGCAACCATTTGCGGTGATACTATTATTGGTTTTTAAAGCGACATTTTGTCACAAACTAATACTATGTGATTACGCGATCTTAACATTAAATTCAAAAAATATTCTTCTTCTTCTAAGTGTTAGTTGTTTACAATACGTAAATGTTGAGAGATATATAATCGTTTGATTTGTGTTTTCTCAAAAATTCCAATTGGGTCTTCGATACACTTGTAAGATGTATGGAAGAGGAAGTGACGTATGTGTTTAACGGAAGTCGGTTGATAATTGCTTCGGTTACATTTACAATATTTTTGTAAGTGCATGTGTGAGAGCAGTGAGAGTGCGAGTGTTTATGAGAAATGAGTGTTTGTATATATGCATATGGATGGTAAACATCTTTCTATTCATTAATAGGGAGGGTGACGTTAGTGATTACATGCTGGTATGCATTTAGTTACTGTGACAAATAAACGGAAGAAGTGCTGTTTGATGTATGTTTCTGTATGTGCATGACCCTTTTTTTCTATCTAATATGTGTATATGTGTATGTATATAAACGATGATGGTGGTTTTTTAACCGTTTCTGCTTGCAAAGGTTGTGCACTGTGTGAGTAGGTCAAGGTTGGTTACGTTGAGACTTGCCGAATTACTGTCGTAGTAGGCGAAGGAATATCATTTTGAAGTAATTAGATACTGATCGGAATGAATAATTAATGATTAGCTCTTATTGTAATGAATGATTTTAATTATGGCATAACTATCTAATTTCTTTTACTTCTTTTCCCCTGTCTACTTCTATGACTCGCTCTCTCTCTCTGTCTGTTTTTATTTTTATTTTTTTTCTCTCTCTCTCTCTTTCCGTTTGTGGTATGGAATTCAGTGATGAATCTTTTTAACTAATCACTGATAAAAGCTGTAAAGAAACTTATGGTTTTTGGAGAGGAAGAATATAACAAAATGATTTTGTTCGCAAAAAAATGATGAATAGTTTGCGTATATAAATAAAGGAAGAGAAGAAAAAGGTTGAAATATATAACAGTTGCGACGCACCTGGCAAAATGGGCGCTAATACGTCCACTGGCAGCTACCCTCCTATAATGACTACCTCGGGTGGCGGCCAGTCATCGGGAGGGATTGGTTCAGGGACTAGCGCTAGTTTCAATGTAATGCTCTCGAATTCAGCGGTTGCTACTGGCTTGTCGGCCTCTAGTAGCGGCGGTAGTTCGATAATAGCTGGTGTGGGCGGTCCGCATACGCGGGAACAGCGCCGAAAACGTGTTACCGGTTTTGCAACACTCAAAAGGAAATTTATACGTCGCCGTCGTTCATCGAAAGCCTGTGATCATGCCAGAGTTTTAAGGGATTTCGTGTCGGATTGGACACCTTTGGAGCTGGCTGCTCTGTGTGAGGAATACGAAGCTCTAGCAGCTCTTCGAGATTTATCGGTAAATATTATAAAAACTTCCAGTTTAGGACATTGACGTAATGTTTAACTTGCAATTATTGCCTAGATGCAAGCTGAATTGGCGCGTCCACCTGCAGCCACTTATAAACAAGATTTGGCAGCATTGTATGATTTGAAGACTTGTACGGATTGTGATCTTGTGTTCCGTGGCGTCATATTTCCCGTGCATCGTTCCATTCTTTCGGCTCGTTGCACATATTTTCGTGATCTTTTGGCAGGTTGCCCAGGATTTGGTGCTCGAATTTGTCTGGAACTACCTTCTTCTCCGATTGATGTTCAAATATTTGCTTCCCTGTTACGTTACCTCTATACAGGCGATCTTTGTTCGCATGATACCAGCATAGACGTTAATCTTTTGCGACAACTTGGCGATGATTTTGGCACGCCTAATCCTTTGGAACACGATTTGCGTTATTTATTAGAGACAGGTGATTACGCAGATGCTGCTTTGGTATTTACTTCCGAAGGAAGCTGTAGCGGTTCCGTTTTGGGCACGAGTGGGTTAGGAATAGACTTTAATAGACCCGACTCGAGTAGCTCGGAGTATGGATTTCGACCGAAACTTGAACTACCCTGCCATAAAGCTATATTAAGTGCTCGCTCACCGTTTTTTCGAAACCTGATAGCTCGTCGTACGCGCAATATGGACGCAGAGTATGCTGAGCGTGCTTTGCATGTACCGACGCGTATCGTACTGGATGAGACAGTCATTCCGAAGCGTTATGCTCGTGTCCTCTTGCACGCAATTTATTTGGATACTGTTGATTTGACACTGATATTGCGAGGAGCTGGCTCGGGTAATGCGGCGGCTGGTTCGCTGGGTGAAGTTCATGCTCTTGCGACGGGACGTACTCGCCCAACTCCTTTGGAAGAAGCAATGGAACTCTATCAGATTGGACGATTTCTGGAGTTGGATATATTGGCCCAAGGCTGCGAAGATTTAATACTTGAATGGCTGTCATTAGATACACTGCCGACGGTGCTTAAATGGGGATCTCAGGTACCTTTAACGCATGCTTAACGCATTTCATACGCATTTCATTTGAAAATTCTTTATTTCTGTTTTTAGCCTCATGGTTCTGCATGGGTTTATCGACAAGCATGCCAATATCTACGAGAAGAGTTTTCAGCAGTTATTTCATCACCAGTGCTACATCAACTTGACAAATCACAACTCATTCACGTGCTACAATCGAACTTTTTACAAGCCTCCGAATTAGAAGTTCTGCAGGCTGTTTTGAAATGGGGTGAACAGGAACTTATACGTCGCATGGAGGACCGTGAACCAAATCTGTTATCACACACTGCCCATTCCGTGACGCGAAAAGGTGTAAAAAAGCGTGATCTTAGTGACGTTGAACTACGCGAAATTTTGTCCGATTTATTGCCTTTGGTACGAATGGATCACGTTTTGCCGCCAAACAGTGAAGTCTTATGTCATGCTATACGGCGGGGGTTGGTCAGTACTCCACCCTCTCACATGATAGGTGATGAAAGAGAAAACTTAAGAGTGAACGCATGGATCAGGGGTGGTAAAAATCAGGGATTGTTCGTGCGGCCTCGCCTTTTTATGCCGTATTTTGAAGAAGTAAAAGCGTTGCTGGAGGATCGAATGACTTCGTCCCATCATCAGGCAGATTTGATGCGTATGCGTAGATCCCGTCAAATGCCTGATATTCCGGACACTTTGTATATGGTGTCGCGCATGAATGCCACTGCTAACAGTGGTGTTGGCGGAGGTGGTGCCGGAACTGCAGGTGGCGACTCCGTTGATATATTAGCTGCAGCTGCCACAATTCCTCCTCCAGATACGCAAACTCTTGCCGCAATGCTTAAAAGAGAACATAAACTTCGTCAGTCTCCCATGTGCCAGCGAGCATTGCATTTACCGCTTTCCTCCAAACATGAAATCGATCGGCAAATACGTCTAAGAGTAGTTAGAGAGTTTAACTTACCCGATGCTGTGTCGGATTTGTTAGAAACGTCTCTGCTTAACAATAGCCGAAACGTGGTGACTGAAATCGGCAATATGAGCGATTCTACAACCACAGTACAAACAGCGGATGAATGCTGCATATTAGAAGATGAAGACCAAAGTCCGCCCCCTTCGCCAGCTGCTGCTTCCTCTGGTTCCGTGCCTCGACACAGTTCCATAATGAGCAACAATTATTTATCTACTTCAATGAGTTCAGCTTCGGGGGTAGCATCAAACTGTGGATCTGCGAGCAGTAAGGGTACTGATGGTTTATCTGGGTGTTATAGTCGTAATCTCACATTTCCTCGCCAACATGCTGCCGGTTTGTTGGGCTGGAACAATGGCACTAGTGTTGGAATGGGCAACGCTGGCTTACCTTCTAATTACGCTCGCCTTTCAGCATCGGTTCATCATCGTAGTGATTTGCCTGCTTTAATAACAGAGGGCGATTATCGTAATTTTGCACATGGTAACGGATTAGGTATTGATGTGGGAGGCGCCGAGGTAGGTGCCATGGGCTCTTCAGAAGGCGGCAATGCTGGTCACCTCTCTGATATGATGCCAGATGTTGCTATGGCCACGGCCTCATTGGGCCAATTGCACTTAGCAAATGCAAGCAATGCCTCGGGTAGTAATAGTGATATGACTGAAAGTCTGCAATTAGATTTGGGCGATGGCTCAAGTCATGTAATGGGCAGCGGAGCGGGAGCCACAGTGGGACCAATAGGATTGAGGGGACTTCAGGTAAAAAAAGGAAAAAATAGTGGCTTAATTTAATAAACGGTAAAAATTATTAAAATCATTATCGGAAAATTTTCGTTATTTCTAGCATCAATTGCCTCCTGGTAATTATCATCATTTCATGCAACGATCCAATTCACCGTTTGATGTTTTACGTCAAAATCAGCATTCGCCCGCACCGCCAACACATCCACCGCCTGGGACGTACAATTCGGGACCACCACGCTTCTTATAGAGTTTGCGTGTGGCCCCGGATGAGGGCCTTTATTTTAGCATGCCTTTCTGACTACAAAATACAACTACCAAACAAATCATCTCAAAACTCACCACCACCACAAATATAAAATAATTATGAATACCACCATAAATAAACATATACCAACACACATATAAATTCAATGAGGTATTAAGCTAAAATGCATGGATAATACACTCAAAACGTCGCTGTCATCCTTCTCTTACCATCGTTCGCCCATCAACTGTTCTGTACGTAATTATACTTCTAAAAAAGGTAATTAATGTTCATTCATAATAGTTACATGCATACCTACAAAATATATTTATTAGGTTTAGCAAAGCCAACAACAAAACAATTACCAAACAGTTTAATACACAAAGAACAAAAAAATAATAATTAAAACAAATTGAGCAGAAACTAAAAAAAAATCATAATTTAATTGTAAAGTAATTATTCCCAACTATACGTTTAAATAATGAAAACACTTTACAACAAGAAAAACAATCCATACAGTTACGCAATTAATAAAATTTATAAATAAAAACTAATCCAAAAAAAAAAAAAAAAAAAATTCAAATGAATTTTTTAATTGGTTTTATATATCAATTAACCATCTATAATGCGGTTTATAAATGGCGGGATAGTACGCGGTTTCACGGAATGTTTATTTTGAAAAGAAGTTTTTTTAAACGCATTATGTGGAATTTTATGAAATCAAAAAACAAAATTATACTTATTTACTGTTATTTATTATTTAAATGTATAAAAATTCAATGATAATTATTTAAGCTTCAATTTGATAAAAGAATATTTTTAATATTTGGCCGTATCCCTAGTACATTAATAAAGCGATAACAAACAAAAAAAAAAAAAAAAAAAAATCATTTTCACAAAGACACTAATTAATAATATATGAGCTTTTAATACATTATTTTTAATATTTCTTTTTAAATAATTTGTGACAATTTTTATTTTGCTTAGTACATTATTTTATTTTAATAGATTTTTACAAATTTTCCAAATATGTACTATTTAAATATTTTTATGATATACGTCTATATAGGTAATAATAAATATTGTTTCATTGTTATTTAACATTTAACACAGTTTTGTGATATTTTCGCTTACTTAAACTAACATGCTTACCTAATTTAGTTAATTTCACCTGTCATGTTCTCAAGGCTCTAAAATATTTGCATACCTTTAACCCACCACATAAATATATTTGCACGCATACTGCATACGCATTTATTACCTTAACATTGCAAGCACGTAAGCATACGCTGGTAATTATCGGCCATGTTTATATTCTATATATGCGTGAACTGTTATCTATACTTGCATTAAGGGCGCCCTCTATCCTAAACTGATATTGTAAATTTCTATAAGTGGCCAATAATCCTAGCGATTTCTTCTAACAACTTGCAACAATTTGGTCACAGCTATGTAAGATCTAAGCAAAATAATACTTATACTTAAGTATCTTATTCTTATTTATATATAACCTGCCTCCTATTTGTACGAGGAGATTATAAACCTGTGTACGTCTTAAGGAATTTTTTTTACGTGATCCTTTATTGACTCTTCGGTTGAATGAATATGACGGCTGAAGCTTGATGTTATCACACGCATATAATATCATTACGACTGAGTTCGAATTTTCTTAAGAAATTTGCATTATTTACAAAACATTTTAAAGTAAACACTTTAAAGTACTGTGCGAAGGGTAGAGGCCAGATGTGACAAATTGAAAAGTCAAAGAAATTACGTTAAATGTCCCTAAAGAAAAAAGGCAATAAAGACGCTCTTATCAGAAGATTTTATATAAATTGTAACTTAATAAAATGCCGATTTAAAATTCAAATAAATCTTAAAACCGTAATATAATTCTAATTGATTCGAATCCGAACATACTCTGATTCGTTTAATCAGAAATCATAGTTAAGGAAATAAATGGAATTCCATACGATTTTAAGTGTAAACGAGGTAACTAATTCGTATAAAATTTCAAACTCATTATAAATATGTAGAATCGACAAATGCGTATTTATAGATCAGATAAGATTTTCAATTTTTTCACCATTTACTCATTTCGTGAAGAAAAATGTATGTACTTTTGTTTGTTAATATTCCTACTGTTTGAGTCAATATGCATAAATCCGTACGTTTTTCGTGTTATCTGTAAGAAGTTATCGAGCTTCTTAATCTTAAATTTTATTGAATGATTTGATTGAGATTTATCTACTAATAGTGTCCTTAAGGGTTTTAAGATTGAAACTTTTCGAATTGAACTGAACGGTTCTGGCTCAATGAAATCTAGTAATAAGAGTTAGCTTGAGCTAGCTTAGCCTCAATTTATCATCATCTCATCCATACTCCATTTGTAGTTATTCGAACATAATTGGGAATTGCCGTTACATATGCAATGTGGATTACATTATTCTAATACGCATTACTTTAATTTATATTGAACGACAAATAATAAGGAAATTAACTAAAATAGTAACGAATTATATATAAAATATTCTTGTATTCTGTACATTTAATGAGTCCGTAAAATTCTGCAAGTAGGCATAGTTAATATTGATAGTAACCATGAAATCGAAAATTTCGATGAAGCACTCCTCAAATGTCTTGTTGTACCATACCAGGTTGGACCAATGGAATGAACGTTGATAGATTGATTACGATAGATCTGAAAAACAACAATTTCAACTTCAACAACAACAAAAAAAAAGTGCCCACTCCTGTATCAAAAAGGTATTAAATGTTACCATTTGAGGGGTTTGGACAAAAATATAGAATTAATGGGAGAACTTTTCGTTGCAAGGGCCTCACATCCGGTTAAGGTGTTCATCTAAGTCTTAAAACATATAAATTACAAATGGGAATCGATGTTCGCCAAGCTGTCTCGTAATCGACCAATTTTCAATACATTGTCTTGTACTATCTTATTCGCAACGAATGTTATATGTCATAATCGGGCATTTGCCGGCTGGGCCATGCATTTTGTTGAATTCATGTATCGGACGTATTTGTCCTTGATTAATTGGTTAATATTGCTTACACACTTTCAACGTCGACAATGGAAGAGGCGGCTTGGTGAACTTAATGAAACCAATTAGTTTTACTTTTTCTTATACGATAGTGAATCCGGCGACAGATTGTTTGTTTGGTTTCTTGGCTTTGATGGTTTCGTTTTAGATAAAATACGTGTGCAAGTATCAAAAGGTTTCATGAATAAATGACTTAACCTCAAAAGCAAACCTATTTGAGGTTATGTCGGATTTCATTGGCAATTTTTGGACTTACGAAGAATCTGTAGATTAATGTGAGGAGGGACAAATGTGAAGAGCATTGATTTTGTATTTCTTGCCTTCGCCCCTGGCTCTGGTAGGCATGACATTTTATTTTATTTTAATTGAATAAAAATGCAACCTTAAATTAAATTTCCCACGAAGTAAGCATCAATCAGTTAATTTCCGTGCTATATAATTTTTATTTATCTATTCGCTCTTTTCTGTGCAAGAATTTGTATAGTTAAGACAGCCCTTATGTAATTCTCCCAAGTAATTCGATATTTGAGAAATGAGAAATAGGTCCCTTGAAAAGCATACAATCATCCATTAAAAGATATTTAGTTTCACTTGCAGTCAATGAGGGAATCGTTTAGAAACATTCTGTTTGTACCTGTGCAATCCTAAACTGTAAACTGAGTTAACTGGAGAATGATGGTAATAAAATGGTCTTTAAATTCAAAATGTTCTGCGTTTTTGTTGCCTCCGAATCTGTGAATCAAAAAATGAATTTGTTTTTTTTTTTAAATGTATCAAATTTAAATGAAAGGAACATCGCATAGACGGATGCAAGATCATGTCATTTTTAATTTCAAATTCCTTCTTGTTGAAGTGATGCAATTTTTTTTTCTCAATTTTGTTGCCTCAGAAAGAATGCCAGCACTATGCAAGTTCTTGTAAGTAGTGAGTGAATACCACCAATGTGTGTTAAAATTTTATTAGATTTCTTTGTACGCTTAATCTATTAAATATTTTATTATTAAAATTAAGTATTTAGCTAATCTTTTGATGTAAGCAAATGAGGAATTTGATTTATATATAAATATATATATATTTGATTTATATATAAATATATATATATGTATATATAAATTAAATTGATTATATATATCAATATCAATTGATTATTATATATAAAAAGAACAAATATTATAAAATTTCCAGTTAATTAATATTCCTTGATTGATTGAATTGATATTTGAACGATACTTACGCGCCACAATAGTTTTAAAAAAAATTTTAAATATATTTACATATTGTTTTCATAAACTGCTAATGAAATTTTGCACATTGCAAAACGTATTCGTTTTAATTTAAATTGAATTTATTATTATTATTATTATTATTATTTTTTAATTTTGTTTTGTTAATAATAAGTATATTTTATATATACATATACAAGTATATATGTATAATAATAACGAAAATGAAATTCTAAATATTGTAAAGAAATATAAATCTAATGAAATTTATGTAATAAACATTAAAATAAATAATGATCCGAATATGTGTTAAATCTGTTTTCCTCTTCTAGCTCTTTCTTTGTTTTTGTATGTCTCTTTTTTTTTTTTGTTTTGTTTGATACTACATTAAACTTTGATACGATGATAGGAAAACGAAAACAAAAACCCCAAAACTCTTAATTGCATATAAATTTTATGAGAAACAAGCACACAAATACCATCTTTAGCATATTATATATTAAATAAAATTATAAATTATACATAAAATTTAATGAAAAAAAAAAAGTTTCAAGAAAATGTGTTGTATTTGAAATAAAATGTATACATAAATAATAAACAAATAATAATGATAATATTTAAAAATAAAAACGATTTAAATAATAAAAAAAAAAAAAAGAAAAATTATGTAAAAAATATCCAACGAATCTTATTGTAAAGGCTGTCTCAAATTAGGTCAATCTTTCATTAGATTTGTTCGAAATATTTTGAAGGCATTGAGATCGCTGTATCAGGAGTCATCGTGAGTAGCAAACTCGATCTAGTCTTGTTTGTCTGTCTGTCTGTCTGTCTG